CTCCTTGGTCTGCCCCCCACCCCCCACCCCCTCTCCCCCACACCGCCACCCGCAAGCATCGCGGTCCATATCCTTCCTTCGCAAATGCGCATCGCCGAGGACGCATATCACCGGTGGCGCACAGGGGGGCCACGGGTGGCAACACAGACAGCGCCTTTAGCACGTAAAATCACGCCAGCACGTACACGTACGCATGGTGCTCTTCCCTCCCCCTCACGATGTCGCCCCACGCCTCCCTGGTGTTCCCACTTCCCTCCTCCTCAACAATGCTTGTAAAAAATAGTGCGCCCTCCCACTCCCCCGCCAGCAAAGCAAAAGTCCCCCTGGCTTGTTCTTCAAAAGCAGCAGCACCAGTGGGCCAACCTAATAGAGACCCATTTGTTGCATCATTTCGACACCTTGCTTGACTTTTTCCCGCTTTGAACCGGGGGGTGCGACGGGTGGGCCCGTCGGCGGGGGCCCCGGGTACGCCAAGGGGGGCGGGGGGTACCCCGGGTAGTAGTACGCCCCCTGCTGCACCTGGGGTGGCGGCGCCGTCCGCTAGCGCCGCCGCCCCCGCCGCCCCCGCCCCAAGAGCTGCAGGCGCCAGCAGCGGTGGTGCATCTACCACTGCCGGCGGCGGATCCTTCTTCTCCTTCTTTTCCTTCTTTTTCTCCTTCTCTTTCTCCTTCGCTTCCTTCTTCTCCTCCTTTTCCTTCTCCTTCGCTTCCTTCTTCTCCTCCTTCTCAGTCTTCGGCGCCGGCTCCTCTTCCTCGATTACCTCTAGGTTGTGCTTGTAGGAGGTGTACATTCTCTCGCGAAGTCTGATTCAGTCGTTGTTGCGGCGGAGGACACAAAGAAGGCGAGCGGGTGGAGCGTCCTTTTGGACAGGTCGAGGTAGGGCCACGCTGGTGACAGCATCAGCGGTCCTAGGTTCAACAAGCAGGGCTCAACAAAGGGGGGGGGAGGAGGGACACACGTAACCCGACCCACACAGATCGACCACCTAGTGAGAGGAAAACCCGGCCACAACAGCATCACTACGACAACCGGCCCCAACAGGACAGGACAACAACAACACACCCGCGCGCAACCAAGACAAGAAGAGCCGTTTATTGCGGCCACAACAGCAACAACACACCTGTACACGAAGACGTGAAGGGCCGTGAAGCCCGGCACACCGAAAGCGAGGATCAGGAACACCCAAAGGCAGGCCCTGCCCGGCCTCTCATCCCAATCGAACACCTCGAACGTCACCCTGTCCTCCACGTTGTGCTCGTAGTAGTAGATCACGTTGTAGAAGATGTACACCACGAAGAAGTAGAGGCCAAGCCAGGCGTACTTGAACTTCATCTCCGTCGCTATCAGAAACTGATCCAGCAGCTGGGGGGTGGGACGGCCACCGGCAAGACGTCGACGCAGTCAAACGAGACGATTCAATTAGTGAGCGGTCCCGCAAAACGGAGAGGGGGCGGCGGGGGGCGGTGGACCTGGCGACGATGAATCGACGGTGAAAATGCTCTGCCATTTGTGTCCATGTTCCGAAAAGCGGCGACTGGAATTTGTGTCAACGCTTGTGCCAACGCAGGTAGAGACCCACGTCTCGAGATTTTTCGTTTTCGACGCTGACCCCTCGCCAAGAACAGACCTCTGTACATGTAGGTGGATAGATACACATGAACGGCTGCTGTGTACGACGAGAAAAAAAAGAACGATACTACTTCGATCTCCACCGCCAACACAACACCTTGCGGAGCTCGCCGAGAGTGTTCGCAAAAGCAACGCAAAATCTTCTATCACATCTGTCTTTGCTTGCTTGTTGAGCGTCGGGTCGTAGTTGTAGATAAAAAGCAAGGGGACATGAACTGCATCGCTTCATGTCGCGCTGAGATAGTACAGGACACTCGGTTCCCGAGCATTTTTTTTTTTTGTTTTCCACTTGTTTTCCCGGCATTCCATTCTCCACCTCTCTACTACGCCAGCAAGGAGGCATGTAGTATACCGCTGTAGATCGTGCGACACAACAAAAAATACGGCTTTGACCCAGCAAGAGTCTCACAATTTCGAGAATCTGAACTGATACCACTCTGTGGTACATCAGCAAGAGTCTCACAACTTCGAGAATCTGAACTAATACCACTCTGTGGTACAGCAGTAGGCGTTTTCGTGTGCCGATCGGGATTACCGAAAACTAACCGCAAAGGGCTTGCTTCATTCCGTTCTTTCACCCCTACCATCCCCGAAACCACGCACACCCTCCTCCTCTTTCACCATCGTCACCTTGGCGCTGTTACACTACACGTAAACCCTTTTTGGCTAGAGCGTAGACGTTCAAACGCTCCCGACACGCTCAGGTGTCGTCGGGAAAAGACGCAAAGGAGCACACCTTGACGATCCCTTGGTTGTCTTCTGACGGAAACTGCAAGCTGCCTGGGGGTGTGAAGGCACTTCTGAAGAAGGTACGGATTGTTATCCGCTAAAGCGCCAAGGTAACGATGGTGAAAGAGGAGGAGGGTGTGCGTGGTTTCGGGGATGGTAGGGGTGAAAGAACTTTAATGTCTGTGTCTTGTCTGTCCAGAAAAAAAATCCCTGATTATCTCTCACCGCCTTCTAGCGGCGGCAAGCTGTAAAGGGGACATGTAGCTTGCAACACACACGACGCAGTCTCTTGAATTTATCCACCAATCGCAGCAGCAGCAGTCAGCCCAGACGAGCGGTTTTTCCTGGATAGCGGCGTGTGTATATGTTTGTTGCGGGCAGCTTTCCCGGCGTCTTCTTCGCCCTATACCGCTTATGGCCGCATCTAATGCCCTCGCTGGGTGGACTCACCATCAAGAGCGCCAGGATGGTGGAGCTAACGTAGACGCTGGTTACCGGCACGTCGCTCTCGTACTGAGAGGAACAAACACGATCAGTTCGGGCGGGGGGCAGACGAGCCAACGAGGAGTGCAAAGGCACGGTGAGACAGGTAGGACACGTATGGCAGCAAATACGGGGTACATGATCTGCCCCCCGCCCCCCCCCCCCCCCCCCCCCCC